CGGTGCCCAGCCGTACAGGCTGATGTGCTTTCCTGCCCTGGCGTGAACGTGCCCCTGGCCTGGTAGTGTGCTGGCTCCCACCCTGCCTCCGACAGCTAGGAGCCAGAGCTGAGTGTCTGCCTTCCGCTAGCTTCCATACAGGTGTGGGGGGCTCTGTGCATGCCCCATTGTTCCACAATGCCCCCCTCCCCCGCCCCCAGCTGGGTGGCAGTGTGAATGGACTGTGGCTATATTTAGAGTGAAACTCCTGGGGCTACCACAAAGGAGTGACTGCATCTTCAGGAGGGTGGGTGGGCGGGAAGGGGACAGGGGAGCAATGCTATTTTCAGAACACATGTCATTGCTGGCTACAGAGCAAGACTGTGGCCATAATGCAGAAGGAAACAATAGCTGTGGCCAGAGGAAGAGCCTGTTATGTTTCAGGTGGGATGTTTGCAACTGCTCAGGAAACCTGACCCCGCCCGACAGTAGCACAAATCACAGCATAGCCTCATGAAGGCAGGGAGGAGGCAGGGGATTCACACACAGGGCCAGGGCAAGTATGAGGTGCCAAGAGGCCATGCCCATTCCTGGAGGAGAATTTTCAGTGACTCCTTGGCCCTGGGGGCCTGGTTAGGAATGAAACAGTTTTGACCCAATTTCCCAGACAAACCATGTACCCTCCTCTGGTCTCTGGATACCTCCCAAGAATGGCAGTGGGAATGAAAAGAACTCAGGCAGAAAGCAGCAAGGTGGGCAGAACCAACCCAATATGAAGTAAGGTCTCAGGCAACAAGGCAAAGCCTGGGCTGAACCATAGAGTGTGGCTTCAAAGTTCTGGGTGGGTGGACTTGGCGCCCCTCACATCCAGGGGCCTGCCTGGGTGCTGCAGCTCCAGCTGCATAGGCCCTAGAGCTCCCCACACCTCTTTTTTGACCTCCAGTCGGCCCCACTTACCAGAGTCTGTACAGTGCCGGAAGCAGGGAGGGACAGGCTACAGAGGGAGGGCAGGCCTCACCCCCCCCATCCCCACAGATGAGCTGAGGCCCAGGGGTCTAGGTGGGAGCAAGGAAGTGGGGGTGTGGCTACAGACGCAGATCTCACTTGGACTTTATAGCCATCCTGGGGACTGGGGGATTTTGTTCAACCCCATCTTCATATCCCCCTCCTCAAACATGTGTGGTTCCTGTTTTGCTGCATCTGTAAAAGGCGCTGGGAGTTGGGGACTTGCCTTACACCTCTCGGTTAACACCCTAGAGACTGATGGGGTTCAGAGCAGAGTAATTTACAGTCCATCTCTCCAATCTTAATTCACTCGATGCTCTTTTCTTCCTTATTGTATTAGTGTGACCCAGGTACCTGCCAACAATAATGGCTTCTCTAGCTAGGAGCCTCTCCCCCATTCCCAGGACAATTTATACCTTTTCCTTGGGATTTTCCCCCTTAAATTAAACAAAAAAGAGGAAAAATAGAGAAGGTTAACATGGGTTTGGAGCGCTGAAGCCCCGTGGTTCTGGGCAGGGAGCCAATGGCCCGAGGGCACACACATGTGCGTGCTCTCCCAGAAGGGCCTTCACGGGCCCTGTTTTACAGCCACCTCGGCACAGACTCCAGGGTTCACGCATATGGCCAGACAGATGTGTCTGGCTTACGTTCAAGGCTGGAAAATGAAGAATTATGGAAGTGAAGGGCCCCGGGCATTAAAGGTGGGGGGGAGTGAAGGGGGGAATTTTTCCTCTGCTGAGAAATCCTCCTGTGGCTATGAGGCTGGAATAAGGAGGCTGACAGGAGGTAGGGCCGCCAGCAGCAGTGCATGTGGGGCCTGTTCTTAAAGGGGCCACAGCAGCCCACACTTTGCTGGCCCACAGCAGGCCCTCCAGGATGGGGCCTGAGCAGGCCCCTCTGGAGGAGCTGGTGGGGAGAATAGGTCTCTGAGACAGGGCCAGCCAGTGGCACTGGAAGTCAGGTCTTACATTAGACTTCCAATTACTAGGGTTGCTTGTTGCTAGAGAAACCAACCTAGACAGAATACTCTGGCCAGAGACAGATCCACACAGCATGTGCTCCTAATAGCATCCTCCTCTCTCTCTCTTTGGTGGGACTGGGGTTTGAATTCAGGGCTTTGTGCTTACAAAGCAGGCACTCTATTCCTTAAGCCATGCATCCAGTCCATTTTTTCTCTAGTATTTTAGAAATGGGGTCTCATGAAGTATTTGCCTGGATTGGCCTTGAAGTGTAATCCTCCCAATCTCAGCCTCCCAAACTTTTTTTTCTGAGACAGGGTCTCACTATATAGTCTCAACTGGCCTTGAACTCACTATGTAGTCCAGGTTGGCCTCAAACTCATAACTCTTCTGCCCTTAGCCTCCCAAGTGCTGAGATTACAAACGGGTGACAGCATGCCTGGCATTCTGTGTCAAATCACTTGTTTAAAGACTGGCTTCTTCATTGGTATTTTCTGGAACGCCATGTTTTTGTTCACTTTCTGTCTCCCCCAGCACCAGCAGAGTCACTATTCAAACCACTTGCTAAACTCAGACATGTCCCCAATTCCAAGGAGTTCATAGTACAGTAAGAAACAAACCCAGAAACAACTGTAATAGGAGACATGATAGCAGTTCCACAAATGAAGTACAACTCAACACTATAGGAACACTAAGCAGAGAGATGAATTCCTCCTGGGGGAAATTAGGGAAGGTTTCCCTGGGGAGATAACATTTCATCTGGAGGTTGAAGGATGAATAGAATTTCAACAGGAACAGGAAACATGGAACAGAAAAGGAGTATTCTGGATTAAGGGAGAGTATCAACAAAGAACCAAAGACTGGGAAAGGATGGAGTGTGTTTAGGGGTAGACTGATATCACTGTCCAGGCTGGAGGGCCTTAGAGACTAAATGACTACTTCATGCACACTGCTTCAGAATAAACCACATTGATTTTGTAGATAAGGAAACAGGTCCAGAGAAGTTAACTACTTTGCCCAGTCATATAGCTAGTAATGGCTCACAGGGTATGTGGTAGTGGGAGAAGAGGTCGGAAAAATACTGGGAGATCAAAAAGCCTTGAATACTGTAAAAAGGAATTAAGACTTCATTTCACTAGCCAAGCAAAGGCAATGATGATTTCTGAGCAGGGGAGTGGTTCTTTGGGGAAGAAAATGATGTGCTGGCAGCAGTGGGGCGAAACAGGAGCCTGGTGGTCAAGCTGTGTACTACACAACTCCAGGAGGGGCCAGTCACAGACTGTAAGATCAATGGCACCCCCTGTAGCTGTGCAATTCAGGAGCTTTAATTGCAACAATTTACACAAGTCCCTGAACTAGGATAGCAGTGGCAATAAGAACAGGAGAAGAGGAGGTAGTAAATGAATGGACAGATAGGCTGTGATAAGAAAACAGGAGGGGTACAAAGTCAGTATGAATTTAAAATCATCCTCTACTTGCTACTATCTATGAAGTCAAACACAAATATTTAATAAACATCAACTCAGCTTGCTGAGACTAAGAAGTAATAGAAAGGTAGAGACCAAAGGAGGAGGGAGAATGGTGGTGAGGAAGCCTAGGAGGATGGTATGATAAGCAGAGAGAAGACAAGATTCATTCGTGTTAAGGGAAGCTGGTGGGGGTGTGGAGGGTGTTCAGGTTCTAAAGCTATAGGGATATCAAGGTTTGATAAAGATAGGTCTTTACTAGTTTCTTTCTGTCTCTCTCTCTCTTTTTTTTTTGTGGTACTGGGATTTGAACCCAGGACCTACACCTTGAGCCACTTCACCAGCCCTGTTTTTTCAAGATAGAATCTACTATTTGCCAGGTTGGCTTTGAATTGTGATCCTCTTGATCTCTGCCTCCTGAGTAGCTAGGATTAAAGGTGTGAGCGACCAGTGCTCAGAGGTAATTTTTGATTCATGTCTGTGTAACTGCTGGGAGGTTGAGGTGGTAAGTAGAGATGGGACTTTTGGGAAGACTGATGGTGAGGAAGGAAAGGGCAAGAAGAGTATCTTGAGAATGAAGCTGCTTTTTGGGCCACACAGGTTTACTTGCAGACCCACCATAGCAGACAGGCTGGCAGAGGCATCACATACTGGATCCCAGTGGCAGTGGGATATGAGTATGTCTAAAGAAGGATGAATCCCAACTGTTACCATTCCCCTTCCTGGGCAGGGTGATGAGACTAATCTCAGATAAAGAGCCCGTGTGTGACATGCATCGTGCTAAGCACTTTAGGTGCACTGTCTCATCCAGGCCTCAGACATGAAGACGTAAGTGCTATTATAACTTTCTCTTTGTAGGTAAGGAAACCAGCTCTGAGAAGTTATGCTAAGTTGCACTGATTGGGCTACTTATTATCAGGTTTGACATCCTAGAGAGGCCAAGCAGGGTGGCTTAATGCTCTTCCTCCTCCCCTCCGGTTTATAAAGGGGGAGTACAACTGCCTTGAGCCCTAGATAAGGAGAAACGGGCATATAGCATGAGGGATAGACCTGGAAAAGCCAAATAGAAAAACCTGCTTGATGTGAAGGTTTGGGTCCTAACAAAGCTGACAGTGGGAGATTAGGCAGTGTCCCTCTGGGAGGGTATGGAGACTATTCTATCTAGAAGGGGCTCTGCTTCCATTACATTAGGAACCTAGATCAGTACCCTGTAGCTATGGTACTCTTTCCTCCCAAGAAGGGGTTCTCTCCATGAGTGACTGGGTATGGTGAAATAGCATGAAAGAGTGTGTATGTGTGGTGCCATTGACAGAGTCTTCCATCAGATTGTCAAGAGACGACTTTCCCCCTACTTTAGAGCTTGTGATGTGGGAGACTTCAGGGTACCAGACAAGCTACCTGAATAGGAGTATGACAATGGGTGGAGATGGACAGGACACTGAGGGTCCTGGCTTCATTCCTTATTTTCATTTTTGGCTTTAGTCAGTGCAGAACATGAAGATGGCTTCCTGAGGAATCCCTACTCCCACCCATATCACCTCACACCTTGTACAGCCACACCTTGGAATCACTCTCTCCTATCACACCTCACCTGAATCTTCTCCTGGCGACGTTGTTGCTCAGCTATCTTCCTGGCTAGAGCCAGCTTTTTGGCCCGAAGTTCCCTGATGTCATCCTCGCCTCCACTGCCTTCAGCCTCTGAATCTTCCTCAAAATCTTCAATCACCACGTCTTCCTCCTTTGGGTGGTAGAGCAGACCAAGGAAGAGAGGAGACTGTGAGGCAAGGCACTTACTGAATCATCCCTCTCCCCACCTTTAATCCCAGTCCATGCTGACCTGGGACTACTCTTTGCCAAGGGTCCCCCATTGTGTGCTTCCCTTGCTCAGGAAGAGTGGGTTGAAAGAAGCTGTCACTCTTCCCCTCAGATTTCTACCTTTTACGTTCTAGGGCTCTTTCTTACTCAGTCACACCTTAGTTACTCACAATCACGTATGTACAGTTGCATGCTTGTACTTATACTCCTTGTTCTCCCTTGTACATACTCACAAAGTCAAACCTTGGACTGTCTTTGTTTTGAAATCACAAATGATTCAAGGGGTAAACAATGGGAAAAAACTAAACTGCCCAATTTAAATTTAATTCATGCAAATGATCTGATAGGAATCGACTCTGGCCGACATCTAGGAGTTAGGCGAGAAAGCTCCCTTGCTTGAGAAAGCATCAGGAACAGATGTGGTAGCTCAGCAGACCTTGCCCTGGTTTCTTTTTAAGACCACAGCCTGGTGGTGTGGGGACTGCTGGGCCCCATTTCAGGAATTCACATGACATGGCCTTGCTCAGCTGCCCTTCCAGGCCTCGACAGGGTAGGTGGTGGCTGGCTAGTTTAAGGAGACTTCTGCCAGGCTGGTGGAGCCTTTCCCCAGGGATGGCACCGCCCTCCTTGCAGCCTCAGCTCTTAGCAGCCATCACTCCCCGGGTGGTCCCAGCTCCATTCCTCATTCTCTCACTTTTGGCCTTGGTCAGTAGAGAACACTGAGCTGCCTGAGAGCTTCCTTTGAAGGACAGAGTTAGCAGGGGTATATGGGGAGTGATTCAGCAGGAGAAGATTCCTGTGATTCTAACAGGATGATAATGATGATAACTATATCAACAGCTACCATCTACTCAGTGCTTCTTATCGGTCAGGTACTGACCTGACTGATTAACTCATTTAATCCTCACAGTGACCTGAGAAATAGCTGCTCTTACCATCCCTACTTTCTTATTTATTTATTGGTGGTATTAGAACTCCGAGCCTTGTGCTTATTAGGCAGGCACTCTACCACTTGCACCACATCCATAATCCTTTTGGTTTTTCTTTTATTCTTCTTAATTTACCACCCTTATTTTATACATGAAGAAACCAAAGTTTAAAGTAAAACAACTTGCTCAAAGTCACATAGGTAGTAGGTGGCAGAGTTGGGATTCAAATCCAAGTTAGTGACTCTAAAATCTGTATCCTTAACAACCATAATGAGCAGACCCACAGGGTTGAGAGTACTGAATTGAGACAGAAAGCCTAGGGGAGAGATGACATCTGAAGATAAGACTAAAACTTCCACTGTCCTGAGAGGTCTCAGGGGTCTGGGGTGCTGTCCACAGGCACTACTCATTTGTTAATCCTTGGCCATGGGAAGGAGGAAGACTGCACATTTGCTTCCTTGTTCACAGAGTTAACCTGAACAGGCGAGTGGAACAGGACACCTGCTGGCCCATTGAGGAACAGTGCCCCTGGCTGCTCTGAACAGGGATGCACAGGCTATCACAGGCTTGCAGTGGGCTGGACTGAGGTCAAAAGAGGGTCAGAGAAGCTTGTCTGAGGTTTGCTCAACTCTCACAGCAAACGAGGAAGTGTGAGGTTATGAAATTACACAGACCAGGGTAAGTAGGGTTTCCCAGAGACCACTAACATAAAGGAACCCAGGAGGCTCGTGGGAAAAGGAAGAAGTGGGCAGCCTGGCGTGGGTCACAAACCTTTGCCTGGTCAATAAACCTCAAAAGGAGGGACAGTTGATATCTGGGTCTACAGAGCTAGTCTGCTCCTTGTGAGAGGGGACAAGGCCCTCCTTCCCTAACTGGGCTTATGCTGCAGGCTCCACTGGCTAGAGGCATTTCTTACAGCCAGCCTGGTGAACAAGCCTTGCTCACCCTCCACTGCCTTCCTCAGTCTTCTAGTGTGGTAAGATAAAGGACCAAGGCACACCTTCGGCCCCATGTTTCCCACAGTGTCCAGAACTGGTGGCACTGCTCTGCCCGCCTGAAGCTTGGATACCCTAATGGCTTTGGCAACTTCACTGTCTCCTCCCATGCTGACAGCTCATTCTTTCCCGTTATTCCCTGCCCAGGTTTCATCTGGAGAGCCTGGAAATCATGGGTTCAGTTATATCCCTGGAACCATCTCTGCCCTGGAAGCTGAGCCCTGTGTCATCAGAGGTGGGGTGGGGTTCTCCAACTATCCCAGTGAAGCCAGGCCAAGACTCCACTATATTCTGAAGACTCTGTTCCAAAGGTGGCCACTCTATCACTGCCTCAGATCCCAAATGACAGCTTCCAGCTGACATCTGGCTTCCTTGGCCGGTTGCTGATTTCATCCCTGCACCCCGCCCTGCTCCACCGGGCACTTGAGACTGCTGTGGGCCAAATGACTGTGTTGGCCTATGGGTGACCTGGCCTCTGGCTAGAACTGCTTCCGTCCCTTCTCTTAGCTCCATGTTCCTTCCCACCTAAGACCCCTATCTTTAACATAGTGGGGTAAAAAGAAGGAAAGAATCAACATTCAGGCAAAAATGAGGTGTGTGTACACACCCAGACAGAGTTACCCACACCCAGACAACACAGCAGGGAAGCTGGCAGTGATGCTAAACGCACACTGCTCCAACACTGCTACACACTCACATCTGTTCAGAACCCACAGACAGCAGGAGAGCTGGCAGCAATGCTCACTTAAACTGACACACAAACCTGGCAACACATGCCCATGCCAATGATCATGCCCAGAAAGACACACACATGCAGGCAGGACAACTGCCAGTAAGGTTTGCAAGGTGAGTACATAGGCTCAGGCAGACAGACAGACAGACAGACACACACACGCACACACACACACAGACACACACACACTCTGGAGTGAAGCAAGGGCTACAGGAACAACCAAGGGCAAACAAACAAGAGGAGAATTCCTTAATCACATCAGGATGTGCAGGAGGGAGGGAGGGAAGGAGCAAAAGAGGGAGGATAGACCGGGGGAGGGGTGATTTTCCACACAGGGCCAGCAGTGTCAGCTCTTCCTGTACTTGTGCTAGAGGCTGGAGTTCAGGCCTGTGCTGCACTGAGCTCCACACATCCATAAACTTGATCCTCAGTCTGAACCCTAACACCCCCCTCTTTACTCCCCTTTCTAAGCCTCCAGAGCTGCACATTATTAAACTCTTTTCTTTCTCTCCCTCCCTTCTCCTCCAATGAAACATTAAAAAGCAGCATCTGGAACTTGTAGCAGAGTGAGATGGAGGCACTGAGGTAGACTGGCAGTAAGGGGCACCAGCAGAGTGTACTCTGGAGAAGCTGGTTGTCACATCAACACAGACACTGCTCTGAGACATTATAAATAATCCTGAGGAGAAGCTGCAGCCTGGTCAGGGGGAGGCCTTCCCTCTGTCACAGCGGGATCTTCCCGCATAGTACCTCATCTTCCAGTTGTTTTCCCTTTTGGCTTCCCATTTCCTTTCCCATGGTGTCTGGGACGGGTGCCACTGACACATATTTTCCACCCTTGAATGCCAGCAGAGGCTCTTCTTGTCCACAAAGGGCTTCCAGAAAATACTTCAGCACTGTGACCCTTTTGCAGTCGGCTGCAATAACCTACAGGGCAAGAGGAAGAGAAGAAAAACAGCATTTTCTGAAAGGGAAGATGAAGATGAGAGATACTGCTGCAGGGCACATGAGAAGTGTGTTAAAGTTACTGGGAAGGGAGACAGTGTGAGTGACAAGAGTGTGTGTGTTTGAGTGTAATGAGGTGAGAAAGGGCCATGGACCAAGGTCTTCTGAAGGAAGGAAGTTGTCTTTAGGTCATCCCTGGGGCAGCAGACAACCCCAGGACCAATGTGCTTTTCTTTTACTAAAGTACTAATATAAAAAAAGAATAAACTAAATTCTTTTAAGTTTGGAATAGAATCAACCAACGGAGAAATGGAGTACAGCATGCTGACTCTCATAGAACGCTACTTCCTGGCGCCCCTTGCTGCCCCTCCCCAAACTCTCTCCAGGAGAACTTGCAGACTGAATGCAAAGTGAGTAACTAGAACTTTTTTGGCTATTTCATTCCAGCTAGGTCATTCTGGGCTTCCCTGAGAGGTTCTTGTCCCACCTAAGAGCTTCTCATACCCAAGAGACTGGGATCAGCCAGCACATTGTCAGGAGGTGGTTGGGGCAGAGCAGGTAGGAGTGTTTCACCAAAGATCTGCCCTCCAGGGTTCATGTCAGTTGCTGTCATGTGGTCACAGCGGCACATATGCTGGAACTGTTAAACAAGCTGGGCTGATTTAGCTGAGATGAAACTCATTATCTAAAACAATCATCAAATTTGTCAGTGTCTTAGCTGAAGTGTCCACAGTCACCCAGTTTGGGGTCCTCCCTGTAAGATCACATATGCATACTTTCACATCCAACCCCACCTGTGTTGCTTGGGCCTGCCATCATTCTTGCAAAATGGTGCTCTTTTCTTCCCCTCTCTGGTCTCTGGGTCCTGTCCTCCATACTGGCAGGGTGTGCACCAAGGGAAGAGAGCCCTGCTTGATCTGCAACTCAGAAACTGAGGGCTGTTCCACATGGGAAACATACTGCAGTAGCCAGACATGCCATTTCATCATTAGTGAGTATGTATGCTCAGTATCCCTTTTTATGCTTTCCCAGTTCTGAATACGAAAAGGACTATATATCTGCATCATGCAGTGAAGGACTAACATGGAGACTGACTTGGCTCATTTTACGGGGGCAGGTGTTACCTCATCTAGACTGCAAGCCTTTCAAGTGGCAAACACTGTATCTAATACTTTTCACACATCCCTGGTAGGGGCTAAAAGACAAACTGGGCATGCAGTAGGCTCACAGCAAAGACTGGCAGGCATAGGGAAGCTCAGCTGGGTAACACAGGGGGCATATAATACAGGCATGATCTATGTCCTTGAGGTCACTGTGGAATGAGCACCAGGTAGCTAGCCAGGGAAAGTGCAGCACATACCACTTACCTGTGCACTTTATCACTCCATTTTTTGCCGTCTTCTCTGCCTAGGCAGCCCTCACCAATGGCCCTATTACCCCTGTAGGCTGGAATCTCAGGTGAAGAACCTTAACTACCTCCACCTGAAAGACCTAAAAAGTTCTCAGCTACCCCAAGAAGGCTTAGAAAAAGTAAAATTTCTTGAGCTTGGGTTGCCTGGTTCTGGGCTCACCAAGGAGGAAGGAATGCTCTGCCTTAGGTCAGGGCAGGTAACTATGGTTCCATTGCGTGTATTCAAACATGTGATGAGGAAGGCTAGAAATACAGAAGCAGGGGCTAAAAGGCATTAAAGAACAGAGCTGAAATGAGTAATAGCCTGGCAGGCAGCACGCATAGTGGCCTCCCTGCATCCCCAGTCTCTCACTTGCAGAGGAAACTTCTGCATTTCCACAAGACTGCCAGTTTCCTCTTGTGGTCTAATTTTAACCACCTTGTCGTTACAGTGTGTGTCAGCCATCTGACCCCACAATGACCTCTGACCTTACACCCCAGCTACTGCTTGCCCTATGGAGAATTATGTAATGGGTCTAGGACTTTCCTTTTTGGCATGAAGCTGCTGCCACTGAATAGAGAGGAGGTGGGGTGAAGGGGTGAGAAGAGGAGAGAGAAGCAGCTTATGATGGTTCTTGGCTCACCTGGATGGTGAGAGGTCCATAGGCACCCCTGCTTAGTCTGCAGTAGAAGCCTGCCCAGGAGAGGACGATGTGCCACAAGCATACACTTGGATAGGTGGGCAGGAACACAACTGCTGCTAGGACACAGGCTGGGTGGTATACTATATGGCTCAGGAAGAAAGTGTGATTTCTGGCCAAGAGGGAGAAGGGCCACATGTGTGTGGATGTGGAACTCCTGGAGATGGGGATTTCCAGGGCACAGCAGGACTCTGGGATGCAGACATCCTCAGTCTGCCTGTGACACATCCTTAGAGGTTCAGTGGGAATTGTCCATCATGCGGATAAGCCAAAAAGCCCTCTTCTGTCCCAGTTTTCATTTCCATGATTTTTAAAATTTTTATTTTTTGTGGGACTGGGATTTGAACTCAAGTGTTTCCATGATTTTTAGAAGGAACCTGATTTCGGTGGGGATTTTGTCTACTATGACCATGGCAAGGACTTGACTACCTAATTGGCAAAAGGGCTTTGATCCATTGGGGTCTCTGAGCTGGTCCTAAGAGGTCTACTACCTACCTGATTAAAGAGAGAAAATGTATCCAGTTTTTTGGGAAAAGTGTCCTTTCAATCCTTTGCAATCCAATTGCCAGGGAGAAGAGTCAAAGTTGTATACATTCTCCTTAAGTTTCTAAAGTATACCATGGCAGTGAGAGATGCAGCATTTGAACTATTTATATTTAGGAGACAGGGAAGCTAAAAGGAAGAACACCAAGGGTTTGTCCAGAGACACCAAGAAACCTCCTGTCGCCAGCGTGTTGGCCTGTCTGCAAGAGCATTCTGTCTTAAGTTAGGAGGAGTACGCCCACTGGGGAGAAGACCACAACTCTCTTGACCTTGGCATTCTATGGGAGGCTTGTGGGAATATTCTCTGACACAAAGCCTCTAGCAGTCAAGTCAGGACGAGACAAAAAAAAAAAAAACAGAAACAAAAACAGTTTACGTTTAATAAGGGATATATCATGATGGAGGGAGCCTTTCAAACTATCTACAAAAAATGAACTCTAAGCCAAGCACTGGTGGCTAATGCCTGTAATCCTAGCTACTCAGGAGGCAGAGAGCAGGAGGAGCAGGAGGATCATGGTTTGAAACCAGCCCGGGCAAACAGTTGGTGAAACTCTATATTGAAAAAAACCATCACAAGAAAAGGGTTGGTAGAGTGGCTCAAGATGTAAGCCCTGAATTCAAACCCAAGTACCACAAAAAAAAAAGAAAGAAAAAAGAAAGACAGAAAGAAAGAAAGAAAGAAAAAAACCATACCCTAAGATTATTTTTGTTTGGCTACAGGGAACTTCCTGGTAGGAGAGTGGTTAAAGCTAGGTCCTCTGCTTGGAGAGGAAAGAGTCCAAATGAAGTCTATGACATAATTCCCACAATAACTGTTCATGAGCACATTTTTCCAATCTGTATCAATGAAAAGCAGAGAATGTAAATGGTATGTACATTGCAGCTTGGGCAAACTCTAGATTTTCCAGAGGAGAAAGAGCTGGGCAGGAGCATCTTCCTGGGCTATGACAGCCAGAGCTGGACTGGGGCTAGAGGATCATGGTTTGAAGCCAGCCTGGGCAAACAGTTCCACAAGACCCCCATCTTGAAAAACCCATCACAAAATAAGGGCTGGTGGAGTAGCTCAAGGTGTAGGCCGAGTTAAAACCCAGTACCATCAAAAAAAACAGAACACCAAAATTAATGGAATCTCACATGAATCATTCTACCTCTGAACAGAAAACTGGGGCTTTGGATCAAGGAAAAGCTAAAAGAAAGGCATCCAAAGAAAACCCCTTTCTCTTCCTCTGAAGATTGTCTGAGGCAGCTTGCCCCATCATCAGCAGGAACTGAAACCTTGAGCTTCAGGGCTCCAGTTATCACCCCATCAGGTCCACACGCAAAGAACCAAGCAGAAAGGAAAACTGAAAGCTCGATGTGGAGAGGCGATACCACATCTGTCTTGGCCAGACTCAGTTCCTTAAGAGAGAGACAATGTGAGCAGGTAGTGGCTGGGGACAAGAAGTAAGCTAGGTTCTGAGAAAAGCGGGAAGAAACCTTTAGGTTAAGAGAGGAGTAGACTGGCCTACCAGTCTTCTTAAGCGGGGTGGTGTATAAGTACAGAAGAATGGTGAAAACTGAAATCTGGTGACTCCCCCTACCCACTCTGCAGGGGACAAGCCTTGCCTGGGCAAAGATGCCCACAGAGGCACAGAAAAGGAGACATACATTGCCTTATGGAAGGTGAGGAAGAGTGACAGAGAAAAAGAACTGAGCACCAGGCACCACTTACTTATGCATACTGAGTTCTAAGACATAACACCTCAGAGCAGCCTCTGCAAAGGCAGAAAACCACATATCTAGCCAGGGAATATGAGCAGAGGTTGGAGAGCTGAACCAGGCCTCTGGATGCAAACTTTAGGGAATGAAGGACTCATAGTATTAGTCATTTTGCAAGATTTCTTTTGCTGAACTTTTGGTTTAGGGGAATCAGAATTATTTAAACTTGCACTATCAGCTAGTCCCTGTTTTTTTTTCTTCCCCCAGTCTTAAAAAGTCCAGCTTGCTACTGCTTCTTTGGTTAAAGAGGAAAACCACACAGGTTTTCCCCCACAAACTTAAAGTTTACAGGTTGTTTTTCTTGTTTCTCTAAATGGAGCCAATTATTCTCACATTTGTTGAAACCTTCAATCAAACTTTATAGCTTGTTAATTTTACAGAATGTCCTTAGAGCAAATAAGATTCAGACAGGAAAAGCCGAGATTATTAAGAAACCTTAAAATAGCCTCAGAATCTACCACCAAGGCTGGTAAAATACAGGCTGCTTGGCTGGCTTCTGAGGTCAATTAGCAATGGGTTAATTATCATCTTAATGAGCCAAGCTTACAGGATTGGCTACAAGAAATATAACTCAGACTAATCTGTTTTCA